AATAAACACCCTGTTCTCCACAAAACCTGAATTTTCTTTCATAAAATTGTTTTGTTTTGTGTTAAAATTAAAACATTTAATTGATCAGAAAAATTGATTACTCACCAAGACGAAGGTTGCCATGGCGACGCTGCTGCAGATGCTTTCCTGGTGCTGCTGAGGAGAAAAGTGATGAAGACAAATCCAACCCCAGGCTGCTGGTGCTGCGCTGACGTCATCGGGGGCGGGACTAAGCACAATGATGTAATCATGTGAAAAACTTCCTCAGAGTAAGGATTACAGTCATAATCCCGCGTATCTACACTGTAAAAACAGACAGAAACACTTTGCTTTGTCCGTCCTGCAGCTTAGTAAATATCTCCATAATATTATTTTACCAGTAAATATTGTCGGACTTCAGGCACCTGAAAAATTTTCACATTTTATTGCTGGATTTCAAACCTTCCCAACCATGGAGACATATTTTACAAATTTCTGTAACTTTGAATTATCTTCCCATTTCCATAAATATCACAACTTTCTTTACAAATGATTTTACAAAGTATTTACAAAATAAACATCCTCATATTATCCCTTTACCTTTTTAGCAACACACCACACTTTTCAGCAAGCAGCCCCTCATTCAAAATAATTTTGGTTTTCAGATATCTCTGTACACTAGTAAAACATATTCCTGGAAAATATTAGTTTCAGTGGCATGAAATGAAACATCATTTCCAATAAAACGATGTTTCTCTAATCATTTCAGTGAAACTTTGCGGTTTATGAAGCTCCATGTTTCTTCTTCTTCAGGTTCGTTTGTGTTTTTATGATCATTTTTACCAGAAATGTTTCTCCATATAAGACGTGTCTGTTGTTCCGCTTCGGGAAGCAGAGCCGCAGATCCACAACGGAAAGGATCACAGCTGAAGGAAACCAGAACCGGCCCAGCGGTTCCGGTTGACCGGAGTTGCTGGTTATTTTCTTCTCTTGGGTTGAAGTTTCAGGCCAACCTTCCAGTCGTCTCGATTCTTTGTGGCTAAAATAAAAACTCCAGTTTCTCTGTAAGGTTGAACGTTTCTTCTTCTCTTGGCGCCCTGCTGGGTGCCGGCCGCCGTCCAATCAGGTCAGAGCGTTGTCACTTCCTCTCCAGCAGCTGGATTTTGTTTGGTTCTGCTGATTGGTGGAGCCAGCTGAACACAGCATGATGCTACCACTACCATGCTTGGTCTGCTTTATCGCAGCAGCTTCTTCCTTTGTTTGGGCGTAATAACATTAATAATAATAATAATAATAATAATAATAATAATAATAATAATAATAATAATAATAATAATAGATCATTGAAGGTTTTAAATGAAGGCAGGTTGTAGGTGTTCATGATGAGTTTCCAGTAGATTTAAATTTGTTTTGCTTACATTTGTTCGCACCCCCTTCCCCCTCCTTTCTCCCCCAGGGATGAGGGTGGAAAGAAAATGGATGGATGTAAATGTGCTTCGTTCTGCCCCCTGGTGGCAGCCTGAGGAACCAGCAGCTGCTGATTTGACTCTCAAAGCAGCAGCTGCTGGTTTCAGCCGCCGCCCCGCTCAGCTTCCTGCTCCACAGAAACCACAGAAGAAGAAAACCAGGAGGGACGAATGCCGCACGCAGAACCAGGAAGCATCAAACCCGATAATAAACCTTTATCTGAGATTATAATCTGGATTAATCATTTCCAGGTTTAATTAGACTGAAAGGAAAAACTCAAACAGCTTCTATAACATCTAGATCCACAGATTCCTCTTGGCCTTGCCCTGCAGAGGTCAGAGGTCACACACTTCCTGTCAGATTTAGTTCCTCCTGCTCCTCATGGCTACGGAGAGAAATTTGCTCCAATATTATTTCAGAAATTTAAATAATAAAAAAAGGATTTAAAAATGAAACTTTATCAAACTTCTTAATCAAAACACATTTTTATGCTATAGTTGAACTCATTTATGCAGTTTGACATTTAAGTTTTTCAAATTATTTTGTCAGATTTTGTTTGTTCAAATGTTTTTTGAGACTTTCCCCAAACTGGCCTGTAGAAATACGTCACCTAGAACAGAAGAGCAGAATCTGAAAAACACAATCTGAGAAGAATGCAGTTAATCAAAAATAATGTTTAAAATAATTTCAAAATTAAAATTAAATTCTTAATTAAAAAAAGGTGGGATGAGCTTGAAGTCAGACGCTGACAGGCAAATATTTTAAATATTATTCCAGAGAAACGCAGCAAATTCTAGAAAAATGTCGAGTTTTATTCCAAGATTTTAAAAGCTGAAGATGTTCTGCTGTTTCAGGGAGGAGGAACGTCTTCAGGCGCCGCCACGTGACCTCTGACCTCAGCTCCTCATGCAAACTTCTTCCAAATCAGCTGCTGACTTTGACTGACAAATGTTTCATTTCCATAAGAGAAGAAGAAGGAAGCGTGTGGAGGACAGACCGCCAGCGTCCGCACAGCAGGTCAGACCACTTCCTCCTCAGGACGGTTTTTGTTCTGATTCTACGGGATTTATTTTTATTATCTGATTTTCTGAGTTTATTTCACAGGTTGAAGATATTTAAAAGTAGACAAATATTCCATCATTATTCATTTAGATGAGAGTTTATTCAGCTGACGTTTGCTGGAAAATTAAAAAAAGATTTTTACATTTAATTAAAAAATGACTAATCAAATTAAACACTAACGAAAAGGTCGATCCAGTCAAACTACGTCAAAACAAACTAAATATGGAAATTCTCCAAAAATCAGATAAACTGGATTAAGTGAAATTAAACTGAAAGGACAATCCAGAAAATGTAGTTTATGTAATTAATGGTTAAATGTAGGAAAGTGAAATCTAAAGAATGATTTAAACTCTCACAACACGAGAAAGGAGAATAAAACCAGATTCATTAAAAATATCCATCATTGTTTTTATATGTTTAATGTTTCCTGAAACTTTAGTGACAGTGTTGTTAAAGTTATTATTTTTTGTTTTGCAGAGCCATGAGTCCGGCGCCGCGCCTTGTCGTCCTGCTGCTGGCAGCTCGGATCGCAGGTAAAACATGAAATCTGCTTTTCGGACAGTTTCCCTTCATTCAGCGGTTCATTCACCGATCGACACGTTCCTCTGGAAATAATCTCAAATTGGGGCCAAAAAGTTTGTTCAAAAGAAAAAACAAAATCAAACTGAAAAAAAAATTTCAGATTCAAGACTTTATTTTTGATTTGCAAAACTTTTTTTTTCAGATAAAAATAGTTTCTCAGTTTCAAATAGTTTGTGAGCACAAAAACAGTGCGGTCCCATATTTTACACAAAAGTCGGCATGTATAAAAATTAACTTTGCGTCAAAGTGTGTGTAAATACACGCAGATGTTTTCGCTGGGTGAAAATGTGCAGCAGCCACACAAACTTTTTCTGTGGACAATATCAAACCACAAAGCGTCAAAACTCACCTAAAATCACTGAAGTCTGACTACATTCAGTTATTTAGACCAAGAAGCACCAAACCAATGTTTTTCATGATTTTAATATTTTATTGTTAAACGATGAAACTGAACCCATTCATCCTCAGACAATAAGCTAACACGAACACAAAATAAAAATAAAAGGATGTGAAAACCTCGCTCCAATGTAAATGGCACTTTTCCTCAGTTTGTGTCTCATAGAGATGTAACACATTGATCTGTGAGCCGAAATGCATCTATGGGGTCATTTCATTCTCACTGAAAACAGGAAACAGGCTCAGCAGATTAACTCCAACCTGCTGAGTAAAACTAATCAACAGGTTTGATTATTTAAGGTGATCCAGGTGTGTCTGCAGTCACACGGATATCAGTAGCTGCATCCAGGTGAGCCGTAATGTGGAGCTTTGGCTCTGATGGAGAACAGAGGGAGGATTGATCAGAGATCATATTGATCTGATGGTTTATTGGTGTTTAGATTCATCCAGACTGATCATCCTGGGTCTCTGAGCAGAACTTAAAGACGGAGCCGAGCGGTACCGGTACCGGTCCAGCTGCAGCCATCCAGCCGCCCGCTTTGTGAAAGCGCCTTATGGACATAAAGCATCTTAATTCTGTAGATGGACAACTTATTCACATGATTCTACTATTAATAAACGTCCAGTTTCCCACCAAAGACCCTCTGACTCCGTCTTTAAACCCCGGCTGAACGCTCTGCTGCTGTGCAGACAGGCATTTGCAGGATCTCATTATTTTTTATTTTGGATTTTTTTTTCTTTAAAATGTATTATTTTTATTTTTGTGAGGTGACATCATGAGCCCTGAAAGCAGCTTTTAAATAAACTATATAATTATTATTATAGATGCTTATACTGCTGTTAGCCAGGATGGTTGCCATGGTTACTGCTTCACGTGGCAGCAGACTTCCAGGTATTTATACTGATTTATATTAATATGTATTCATGGAGGCGGCAGGCGGAGCAGCAGCTGCTCCGTTTCCCCCAAATCAGGATTTACAGAGGAAAGGTGCAGAGCCACGGCTTCATGCATCCCATTTGGTTTGTGCGCCGCACTTTTCTACATTTTCCCGAACGCCAAGTTTTGGTGTGAAAACTGCGCAGGGTTTTATGCACGAAGCCCCTGAAGCTTTTACAGAGTTTATCTCAGTGCTTCTAGGCTTTGTGTTTTTCTCATATTACAGAAATAAAGTCAGTATTTAGAGCTGAGGTCTTCAACATGGGGCTCGGGACCTCAGACGGGTCGTGACATTTCTGATTTATGGATATTATTTTTACATTCACAGCTGTCTTTAACTACACCCATGTAACTACAGCTTTGAGTAAAAATATCAGTTTATACATGCAAGATAAATTAACCATGTTTTGGTCAAATAAACACTCCAGCACATCTTAATGAATGAAGATATTTTAATGTTTTCATAGAGTCGGATCCAGAGGGAAGCTGAAAATCAGAATCAATGTTTTTATATCAGCTAAAGTTGTTTTATTCTAATTTAGTAAGAAATATTAAAACTAGTAGGGATTTTTTATAAAGGTTGATTTTATTTTTCTGCAAACAGACGTTAGACGAAGCTGTTATTTCACTGAATATTATTTACAGACTGACACATAAAAATGCTAAGGCGCTAATTTATTTGGCTGCTTTGTTTATATCCTCTGTTTATATTCATGCTCTTATTTTGAAATCCATTTACATAGCAGTTGTGCTTCCTTTCTTTATTGAGCAAGTGGAAAGTATTTAACAGGAAGAGAAAAACAAAACACCAACTGAACAAACAGCCAGGAAGTTCATTTGACAAACACATTACGACTTGTTTTGGAGCCTCAGACGTCGTCCACATGGCTGACGTAAGAGCTTTAGCATTAGCTTCTGCTAAATACTGTTTTGGTTTAGTGTTTTAGCATTAGCTTCTGCTAAATACGTTATTTTAGCGTTTTAGCATTTGCTTTATGAATAGTGCTTTAGAGTTAGCCCAGCTAATGTTTAGCTAGCAGTGCCCAGTGCTGGTGTTAGGTTAATTTTTAAGAACAGAAGGACGGCCGGTCGTGTCCCGTAGGGTTATGACTGAATTGTTGAGACGCGTAGCAGACCCGTCTGGAGAAAACCTGGTAGTTTCTTTTCTTGGATGTTGCTTAAGGATTTTAAACTGAAACTTGGAAACGACCCGCAGAGGCTTGAACACAACGATTCCTTTAGAACGTTTTAAAAATACAAACTGTAGTTGACATTATAAAACAGATGGTTGGTACTGGACGCATTCACCCGTTACAAAGTTTTCATCCTGAAGGTTCAGGGTCGTTTCAGAACCGCTGCCATGGTACCAGCACCTAGTATCCAGTAAGACTAAGAACCTTCTGGAATCCATTTAAACCAGTTACGACCCAGTTACACACAGTCAGGCTCAGTGAACGTCCTCTGATGAAGAAGAATGAAGGAAAGGCCACCAACCGATCACCAACCTTTGGTTCCCTTCCAGTCCTGACGGTTCTCAGACTTTCAGAAAACCATAAACTGGATGAACATTTCTGATGCTTTGAGTTTTAACTTCAGCAGATCTTTTCTCCTTTACAGCATCTCAAACATTCACCGACGCTGGAAAGGATTTCAGAGTCATTTTTCCAGAAAACATCGCCTACTACTACCCTTCTGATGCCCACAACAAGATCTGGGTCACCGCTCTGCATAACGACACATCCGTCACAATGTCATCAGCCAGCAGTGAAACTAAACTAAACGCTGGTCATACTAAAAGTTTTGATGTGACCCAAGAACTCGGCAGGCTAACGATTAATGACAGTAACGATTTTGACCCGTTCACGGTTTTCAGCATCTCTGACAAAACCGTTCATATTACCAGCACCAAGGACATCGTCATCCAAGCCGTCAGCAGCAGAGGAAGAAGCGTGCAGTCAGCTCTGGTTATACCAACGACCAAACTCAGTAACAAGTACTTCATCCCACCGGTACCTGAGACTGAAGGAACCACTAGTGGAGGGGCTCCTGTGGTAAATGTTACAGAGAGAGCCCCGTTCAGACTCATCATCGTCAACCCTGATGAACCCAAAGCATCTGTGACCATTAAAGGCAGAGACGAAATCCCGATAAGCATAGAGTCAGGCAAGGCTGCTCAAATCTGGGTGGACAATGGCAACACGACCCAGTATGTTGAAGCAAATAAAAGAGTGGCGGTGTACTTCAGCCACCCCTGCGCCGTTCAGCACCAGTGCACCTGCGGCCTTCTGCATGCCATGGTGCCTCCAGCCAAGAACGACACCATGAAGTTCCCCATTCCTCCAGTTCTGGGCAAGCCAGCGTCCATTCTGCTGTCCGATGAAGCAAACGGAAGATGGATCAATTCTTCCTCACTGATCGTTGAATCGGCAGGCACGGCCATCGTCTACTGGCCCAGCCTTCTCCTCACACTGGTTCCAGTAGAAGAGTTCGGCAGCTGTTTTGTGGTCCAGTTCATCGAGGGCAAGGAAAACATTCTCATCATTGTGGTCCACAAGGATCACAAGCAGGGAATTCACATCGGGAATGATCCTCTGGGGGGCGCAGGATGGCAGGAGCTGGAGGGAACCGACTACGTCTCAACCAATCGCAGCATTTCATCTACAACTGTCGTCTGGCACATGTCTGCCAACATGACCGTCTACCACATGGCCCAGCACAACAACACCTGGTTTGGGAACCCCGCACCTGTTGTTAGTGCAAACCCAGGTAAGGATGCACACACACACACATACGGATGTGCAAAATGAAGTTTTTCATTTTGCAGTACTAAAGATGGCCGCCGCGGCGCTCTGTCCATGTCAGTAAAGATCAGAGCGGGGGGGGGAACCTGAGTTTCCTCCGGGTCTTGCTGCCTGATGTTAGGTCAGGGTCAGTGGATGGATGGATGTCCTAGTTAAAGCCTGAACAAACAGTGGACTGTGCCACAATAAAGCAGACCGTCTCTGTGTGTTCATGTCAGATTTCAGGGGCTGCATTTTAACTCCAGAGGTGACGATGATCCTCCATGAAGCAGAGAGTTGGCAGGAATCGATCCAATCCTGTCAGAAGCAAAGCCTGAATCTCATCAGCCTCTCCAGCGAAGCTCTACAAAAACATACCTGCCAAAACCTGCGTGGGAACGACGCCAAGCAAGTGTGGATCGGTACGCGTCGCAGGTCGCTGACCGGAGACTGGTACTGGCTGAACAGCAACGGCTTCAACGACACCAACTGGGCCCGCAGCGAACCGGGGGACGTCAGCGAAGGCCAGTGCGCCGTCATGAGTCTGGAAGGCGACTGCGGCTGGAAGGACCGCAACTGCTGCGAGGCCGCCCGACCTCTCTGCTACGCCGCTCCGCAAGTCCTGCAGATAAACTGAATCAGAAGCTTCCTGCTCCTGGTTCTGGTTAGGTCAGAACCGAGCCACCGATAGCATCACTATAGTCATCAGAAAACGCTAGCATAGATAGCTACACCGGTTTATTTGGGTCAGTTGGTAGTTCAGCCTCAAACTGCTGCCTACGCTACAGAGGCTGGCAGAAAACAAGACGAGGCGTCATAGTATGGAGGGCTGAGGGTGACGTAAAACATAAATATATGAACAGGCAATTACACACAATAAACTACACCAAGCAAGCTTTAGCTCATAAGCTACATACTTAGCTAGTGAGCTAAATATTTAGCTCCAAACTAAACATTTAGCAAGCTAAATGTTTAGTTTGGCTTGACAGCTCGCTAGCTAGTTTGAGAACTAGCAAGCTTTAGCTCATAAGCTACATACTTAGCTAGTGAGCTAAATATTTAGCTCCAAACTAAACATTTAGCAAACCAAATGTTTAGTTTGGCTTGACAGCTCGCTAGCTAGTTTGAGAACTAGCAAGCTTTAGTTCACATACAACATACTTAACTAGTAAGCTAAATATTTAGCTTGGAAGCTACATAGTTAGTTTTCAAGCTAAATATTTATCTCCAAGGTAAATAAGTAATATACACATGCTGATAATAAGACACAAATAAAATACAGAGATCAGCCAGAACCAGATTTTATTTTTTAATTCATGATGTCAAAACTAATTCAAAGTTCTGAGTTAAATATTTAATTAGGTATGTAGACGATATCGATATTTTCCCATGACTTCTATAATTTCTATTAAAAGATCTATGAAAGACCAGAATTTAGATTAAATTTAATCTTCAAATTATGTTAACGACTGTAAAGGAAGTGACATCAGCCACTGATCTGGACTGAGAACTGGTCAGCAATTAAAATTAAGATGAAAATTTGATCAACAGTTTTCTGTTTTTGTTTCAACTTTTTTCTCTTGAGTCAGATTTAATATTTTATCCTATTTAAATAAGGAATTATAATGCAGCAAATTATATATTCTAGTGTAAATGCAGGTTAGGGGTGAGAAGCTAATAGTTTTTACTGAGTTTCAGAACATTAACTTCTGGCTGTTCAGATTTAATCATTGTATTTATTCATTTTAGGGTTTTATTGATCTGAATCTAGCAAACAATACATTTATTTTGTGTGATTTGCTGTGAATGTATCATGTAAGCTGCATAAATAAAATTAGTCATTTATGCCAATAAATGGATTTTCATGTATGAAACTAAACTTTTTATTTCCTTTCTTTCAACAAAATTTGATAAAAAATAAAATTAAATAAAATTTTGAACATAAGAAACATAAAGAAACAAGAGATTGTTTTGTTTCCCCAACTTTATCAGCAGGAAGCTGCAGAGTTCAGTAGATCAATGCACTGATGCTCAAAGTGTGGGGCATGGACCCTGGGGGGCCGCCAGGGGGCGCTGTGGCGGCCTAAAAAATTACAGAGAAGATGAGGGAAAAAAATAAATAAAAAAACAACAATGAATCCCATAAATCATTTAATGTTAAATTTTCATCATCATTTTTCTGTTATTCAATCATTTGAATTTATTTTTATCAAATCTAAACTAAAATAATTTAAATGATTTAAATGTTATTTGCTTTGCTCCTGAAGCTAGCAGCTAGCAAGAAACGGAAAAGCTTCTGACAAAAACAAAAACCAGAGGAACTGTGGGAATAAAATAAAATGTAATATTAAATATTACATATTTTCTTATAATCAAAGGAGAAGATTGGAATGAAATAATGCATCTTCTGGTAATCAAGTCATAATAACTCATCTGATAACATTTTCTGCCATAGAACTGATGGCTATTTAAAATCAGAAGCTATGAGGTTAGCATTAATGCTAAATTAATGTAATAATGTAATAATTACTGAAGTTGGTGTTTATATATTTTGTAGCAACGTCTGGAGGTAGCAAAGGGGGTCAAAGGTCAAAGCTGTTTGGGGTCCTGGATGGAAACGTTCTGTGTTTTCCAGACACTCAGGTCCATTTTATACATAATCAACTAACTATGAAGATTCTACATGTATCAAATAAATTTGACTTCCTGATTTATCATCTTGAAATTGGGCGTCTGTCTCTTTAAAAACTCCTGCTCTTTCTGAAGCTCTGCCTCTAGGAAGTCAACATGGTGTTTTTCACCAGCTGCTGTCATGAGCTCAGCTTTGCTAGTTGCTGCTGGCTAGTCTGAAGGGGCTGCGTGGGGGAGGAGGGGTTGCCATGGAGATTAAAGGATTTATGAAAGAACAAAAAAAAACATGATGGGACGGTGAATAAAGATGATTTTAGATGCTGCTGGCCCTTTAAATCAGATCACTAACGACAATCAGCAAGCGGTCTGATTGCGAAGTGTGAGATCACTTCCTCCAGCAGCCGACGCCCTGCAGAGCCCCCCCCTGGACCATCCACACCCCGACGCCCACCAGCAGAACCAGCTTGGTGCCCAAAGCTGCCGCCAGCAGCAGCAGCAGCGCCGGCGGTGGCCCGGCAGCTGGCGGCGGCGGGCGCGGCCGCAGGACAAACAGGGCGGCCTGCTCCCGACCCAGCGGGTTGGAGGCGCTGCAGGTGTAGCGCTGACCCGGTTGGACGTCCCTCAGTTGGCTGATGGTCCGGTACCGGCCAGGCGAGCCCAGAGCCTGCGACGGTGCCAGCGAGGAGCCCTCCAGTGGGTCGTCCGGGCCGAGCCACTGGACATCCGGCAGCGGTGAACCCTGGACCCGGCACACAGCGGTGAACCCGGCTGGACCGCCGCCCTCCACCGACATGGCCAGGATCTTTGGAGGAGCTGCAGGGACGGACAGCAGGGGTTAGTCTGACCTTTGACCCCAACAACCAGAGGAAAGATGGCTGCCACACCCACAGCATGATGCTGCCAGGCCAGAAAACCACAACTAATGTTACTGGATGATAAAGACGTTATTGCAATAAACATAAAATAATTATAAATATTATATTAGTAAATTCTGATGAACATTTAAGACTGGAAGACAAATTCTAAATAAAGAAACAAAACAACAAATAAAATAAATTATAAGGTTCCGTAAACAAAATCATCCTTAAGAAAAAAGTTCAGTTGAGACTAAAAGTCTGGAAACTTTATTGTCTGGTTTTTGGTAGGAAGAGAAAAACGATGAATCAAGCCTGAAATTATCAAGCCTGGTTTAACTTATGATTTATTGCTTCTCAGTGGAAAAACATTACGATCAGTTTCATCTGCCAGCAGCTCGACTCCAACAACAGCTTTGAGTTTGCAAACTGAAACCTTCTGCTGCTGTGGAGCAGCTCCACTGCTCCCACTGCTCCCACTGCTCCCACTGTTCCCTCTGCTCCCACTGTTCCCTTTGTTCCCTCTGCTCCCACTGTTCCCTCTGCTCCCACTGTTCCCTCTATTCCCTCTGCTCCCACTGTTCCCTCTGCTCCCACTGTTCCCTCTGTTCCCTCTGCTCCCACTGTTCCCACTATTCCCTCTGCTCCCACTGTTCCCTTTGTTCTCTCTGCTCCCACTGTTCCCTCTGCTCCCACTGTTCCCTCTATTCCCTCTGCTCCCACTGTTCCCTCTGCTCCCACTGTTCCCACTATTCCCTCTGCTCCCACTGTTCCCTTTGTTCCCTCTGCTCCCACTGTTCCCTCTGGTTCCTCTGCTACTTACCAGAAGCTAATGCTAAAGCGCTAAACTTGTCATGAGGAGAAATGTTGCCAAAGGTCAAACTTTACTTATATGAAAGTTTACAAAACAGCCGAGAAAATTATCTTGAAAAATTATTTTAGCAATTCTAAGTGCGTTAAATGTTTTTAGAGCTAGCTAAAGCGCTAAGCTAAATATTAACTCTGCAAGTAGCAGATTAGTGTTAGCACGCCTCCACTGGGAACAGTGAGACTCCAGTTTCAGGTGAACCGGACCGAAACGTTTGGCAGCGTAACATAACATTTCTTGACGTTTTGTACCGTTTCTTCTCCTACCTTCCACCCGCAGCCTGGTCCCCATCTTATCCTCAAAGCTGACGTGTTCTCGCCCCTGAACCTCCACTCTGCAGTAGTAACGGCCGTTGTCCTGCAGGGTGGCGCCGTTGATGCGCAGCGACAGGTCGTGCTCCCTCGGGTTGCCCTCCAGGCGGTACCGCTGGTCCTGCTGCGGGTTGGGTTCGCAGGCAGCGGCGCCGGGCCGGCTGGTGCAGCGGTACAGGATGGCGGCGGCCGACCCGTGGCCCAGCCGCCACATCACCTGCAGCAGGGAATGCTGGGAGTGCTGCGGGTGGCTGAAGGTGCAGGGCAGCACCACCGGGTAGCCGTCCATCCCCCGGACCTCCGCCTGGACCTGCATGGACCAGCTGTCGTCCCCGGAGCCGCCAGCTGCAGGGGAGAAACCTGCTGAAGTTATAAAACATTAAGACTTGGGTTCCAAAAAAAATAAGATATTAAATAAAAACAGCAACCACTCTTCAGTTCACTAGCCAAACGTTTCCCTACCATGACGCCAAACAGTGCTGACCTTTGACCCTCATAGCAAGCCCACAGAAAAATATTTGAACATCACCTTGAAAATGTCAGTTATTCACTATTTCATTATTATTACATTCATATAGCATAATGCTAACCTCATAGCTTTATTAGCAGATAAAATGTTATGACACCAATTTTTCAACACACAATTCCTTCTTTTGATTAGAATAAAATATGTAATAATTTATATTAATCATCAAATTTAATTTAATTGCTTCTAAACTGTGTTTTTTGGTGGGGGTTGTTAGAAACTTTTCTATTTCATGCTAGCTGTGCTAGCTTGAGGAGCAGCTTGATCAGAAAATGAGCATCAGAAATTTTTAACATAACAAATAACTTACATTTTATACAGAAAAGAGATTGAATAATTGTTGGGAATCCAAGTTTCAATTTCTTTTTCCTTCTCATTTTCACTGGAACGTTGAGGCTCCCACAGCGCCCCCTGGGGGCCCACACTTAAAAAACACTGAATTGAATTCACCATTTTCCTGAACCAGTGATCAGGATTCATCAGGGGCCTCATGTATCAAACCCTGCGCTGTTTTCACACTGAAACTTGGCGTAGGACAAATTTAGAAAAGTGCGGTGCACCAAAAAATCCAGATGTATGAAGCCGTGCTGCAATCAGACCTGCTCACCTTTCCTCTATCCTGATTTGGGGGAAACAGAGCAGCTGCTGCTCCGCCTGTCGCCTCCATGAATACATATTAATGTAAATTAGAATAAATACCTGGAAGTCTGCTGCCACGTGAAGCAGTAACCATGGCAACCATCCTGGCTAACAGCAGTATAAGCATCTATAATAATAATTATATAGTTTATTTAAAAGCTGCTTTCAGGGCTCATGAGGTCACCTCACAAAAATAAAACATTAGGAAAATACATACTGAGTTTGGCAATAAATATTTAGTTACAAACTAAATATGTAGCTTTCAAATTAAATATTTATTTTGGAACGCTGACATTTATAAAAATTAAACCAACCAAAGTGCTGCTGTTAGAGTTTTACAGTGTAGATTCAGCAGGAAGCTCGTCATCCTGACTTTAACAGGACCAGAACCGTCCTCACCTGCGGCGGCCGCCAGCAGCAGAACCAGAAAGCGTCCGACCCACGGAGCGTCCATGAGGAGAACAGAGCAGCGGCGGACCCAGAACTGGACTGGTCCGGTCCGGTCCGGTGACTCAGAACCTCCCAGACGGTCCGCGTGTTTCCGTCCCTTTCTGGACACTTCTGCTATTCCTGCTGCGTTAATCATCAGCTGGTTGGAGACACTCAGCCGGTTCTGATCCAAACGTTCAACAGATTTATTTGCAGTTCTCTAAAAGTAGAACAATAAAGCGACACAGGGAGCCACCGGGGGGCGCCGTCACCATGGCAACAAATCCAAGCTTTAGCTTATTTTATGAAAACTTTAATTTGAATCCAGATCAGAGGATTTTCACTGGAATGAAACCCAGAGCAAACGGAACCGGATCATCTTCAGATTAAATCTGATCAATAATGTGTCATTGATCCGATCAAATCACTTTTCCTGCTTGTGTAACAGTGTTTAGGTTGTAGAATCCCACTTGCTTCATGTATCAGTGCAATGGGGAAATAGCGCCCCCTCTCTGTGTGGCTGGTTATATACTGCTGGCTCCTGCACTCAGTGCCAGGCTGTGAAAGCTGCACAAGAGGTGAGTTTCATTCTGCAGCACACCGAGTAGAAAAATGTTAGCAACAGATAAAACATCATTTTTATTAACTTAGATAAATAGAGTGCAATTAATATTTACTAGATACGTGCCTGGCACTAATTTTTGCACTTTTAATTTCGTTATAAAACACTTCATGTGCTAGTTAAAAGCTAACTTAACGCTCTGTTGCAGTGAGCTGATTGAAGCTGAGCCGTTGTGCTGATTCCAACCCGATATTTTCTCATTCAGGAAATAAACTGCAGATCACCCAGAAATGTTTTACAGTGTGTTATAATGTTTTACAGTGCGTTATAATGTTTTACAGTGCGTTATAATGTTTTACAGTGCGTTATAATGTTTTACAGTGCGTTGCGTCCTGTCAGAATGTTTTTTTTTAGTAAATCTGGATTAAAAATGTTTTTCATTAAAAAACGATTCAAAGTCAGATAAACTCTTCTGAACGTCTGAATTAATATTTAGAAATTTTATCTAATAAATACCAAAATATGAAGTTATGTCTAAACTCTGATATTTTAAGACTAAGATGGTTAAAATAACCATATTATGGTGCTAAACCTGTTTAACACATACATTTAAGTTATTGTTTTCATCTCATGGTTATAATTTTTCCTCAGTTTTTGTCTGAAGGTTTTTGTAAACAGCTGCCTTCCCCTTCTCAGCCAGGAGGGGGCGCCAGAGTGTCGCTTCAGATAGACAAGAAAAGGGAAACTTTTCATCACTTAAAAAAATTAAATTAAATCAGGTCCTATTCTGGTTTGTTTTGAAGTGAACATGCTGGTTTCACCTGGTCAGTGATGATGCAAAATGTTTTTATAAAACTGCTGTTTGTTTTTGCAGTTTTTCATCCAACCTGATTCATTTAGTTTCCAGCAGATTTTATGATCCAATAAACTTTATTTAAATCATTTAGAAATTTTATCTCATGAATACCAAAATATGAAGTTATGTCTAAACTATGAAGCTATTATGTATTAACTGGAATTTTATGATTTCCCACCAAGATAAATTCAGTTTTATTTAACTTTAATGGGTTTATTCCTGTTAATAAATGTTTTAATCTTTGCATTTGTGTGGTGAAGTTGCTGAAGATTTGATTCACAGCAATGAAGCATTTATTACAGTTTATTACCACAGAAGAAGAGACAAACTGGGCTTTAAAGGAGCACTGAGTGACAGCTGCTGCCACCTGGTGGCCAAAGAGGCTACAACAGCCGTTGAGAAGTTTATGACAAATGATGTATTTTATATGGAGTTAGATTTGTTTCACAATTATTAAATTAAAAAAAATCATGTCAAACAAAAAAAGTAGTATTCAATCAAAACAAATTTCAAACAAAAAAATCTTAAAAACCTTTTAATCATAAAAATATTATTTTACAAAAAAAAATGTTTAAAGAGTTTTTATTTTTAAATTGAAATCACTAATTTTGATTTGAAACTTTTATTTCTGCATATCAGAAATTTTTGGTTGACAGTTGGTTTGGTTGAGTCTAAGTTTTTTTGAAGCTCCTGTTTTTTGGTTGAACTCGTTTTCTTCATAGACATCAATACGTAGACGCCTCATGGAGCGCTGAGTCCTACGTAACAGCGTCCGCCATCTTGTATGTGGCAGCAGATCGGAGCTCCTTCAGTCCTGTTCTGTGTGTTTCAACCGTTTTACGAAACAAACTGGATTCATTGCCTTTACCTTTCACAGGTAAGGATGAAAGATCAGAATTACTTGACTTTGCAGCCAGAAATTCGCTTCTAAACAACCGAGAAATATTTCCTATGTAGTTTAATTGGCCCGAAGTATCCGCTGATTGTTAGCATAGCAGCTAACGTTTTCACACTGTTATCTAATGAGAGACAGTTGATGAGAAACCGCTGTTAGAGGAGAAGTTCATTAAAAACCAGAGGAAAGATCAGTCAGGATCAGAGCTGGAGCTGCTGTTCTTCAGTCTGTTTCCAGCTCAGCTTCTCCATGTCGGTATTTCACTATAAAGATGCTACGAGTTACAGCCCAACATGCTGAAAATGTCTTTTTCTGAATGTGAAGGAAACATATATGTATTTTCTATTACACTTTTGGATAATTTCTCTTTTATCCTTGGCTTCAGCCTGTGAACCAGGACGTCTCAGAAGTCATTGAGTTCTCCCAGTGAGAGAACTCACTAACCCTAGGGTTAGTGAGTTC